AGCTCCTTAGACAAAGAAATTTGATAAAGGAAACAAGTGCAAATTGCCACAATTTGATGAACTTGACCTATACTTATGGATAGTATAAGTGCCGTTGAGTTGGTTCCAACCCTTAGTGACCCTGTATAGGGTTTCTGAGGTGAGCTTGAACCACCAACCTTGCAGTTCAAACGGCTTTGCAGTCTGATGCATTAACCCATTGTGCCACACCAGGACTCCATTTATGGATGTAACAGCTCAAAGTACCAACCGAGAGGGAAGGAGTCTTCACATCTAGGATCAAACCTATCCTCTTGGTATACAGGGTTGATAGGGATGGGCAACTTAGACATTGGCTACCTAAAATGAGGATGGAGAGGACATGGAGGCATAAAGTGGCTGGCTTACAAGTTTTCAGGAGGGAGTTTAGTTTCAGAGCCTATAGGGGAAGGTAGAATTCCCCAATGAATAGTTTTCATCTTGTCTACATGGGTATCGTGAAAGGAGATGGGGATAAGATTCTTTTGATTCAATAGTGAGTAATTGTTATCATGACTAACTGTGATTGTAGAAACTTTGTAATATAAAGGAGGAGTAGTTAATCTTTACATTCCAGGAACAGAGGAACCTAGGACCACCAACCAGGAAGAAGATCATGAGTGGAATGTGGGACCCTAAATAGAGAAGCAGCGACACTAGAGGTGGAAGTGGAGGTGATGGTGTAAAGGGACTGAGCAGCTGAGGACTCTAGACTCTTGGAAAGAGAAAAGTTGTACAGTTCAGATCCAGAGTTCAGTTGCCAGGAGGCAGGCCTGCAGAATATGTCCTTTGGTTGCTTAATGATTGTATATTTCTAAGTGTTTTTGTGTACATAAAAAACAAAAATACAAAGCAAAATAAAAAAACCAGAGGTAATAGAAGCAAACATTGTTTAAATGATGATGCAGGTAGGGGATTATAATCATTACAATGAAACAAAATACGACAGGATAAGCGTAAAACTGATGCTCCCCCATGTAAACTATCACTCAATTCACAATAAAAGCTTTTTAAAAAAGTATATAAACACAGATTAAACTTACATAGTAAAGTGTCAATTATGTTTTCACCAAGATGTTCATTATTAGAATATGAAGTTGCTTCTCATTACCTAGAATAACTGCTAAGATACATTCTAATTAAAAACCTACCATCCTTCAATGTGCAGAGATGAAAACGTCCGTAAAGCTGCTTCTCGAGTGAATAATTTGAAACCACATTGTGTGTCCTTGATTCCTTTGACACAAAGGAACCACACCAGAAAGTGGAACCCATACATGAGAAGAGTACGGAAGTAAGAACGCTGAAAACAAAGACACAATATAAATGACTTTTCCATTTGCCTATAAAACAAACATTGAATGTATCCAATAGACAATTACATTTTAATATTTCCTTGACTGAGTAGATCATATTATAGGAGCATCATTGTTCCATTAGTGAGAATATCTACAGTTCAGATCCAGAGCAGAAGCACTAGACAATAGTCACTGATTTTCTAGATTTAAATTGCTATGAGTAAGGGGAGGGAGCATGTTGGTTCTGTAGGGTAAGCACCAGACTGCAAACCACTGAGTCTGTGGGAGAAAGGTGAGTTTTTCTGCTGTCACAGATTTATAGTCTCAGAAACCCTATACAGGATTGCTATGAGTCAGAACTGACTAAATGGCACTTAACATTTCATTTATGGAGTGTGGTGGCTCTGTGGGATAAGCAGTAGACTGTGAACCCCAAGATCAGCAGTTTGAGCCCACCAGTCATTCCACAGGAGAAAGATGAGGCTTTCTCCTTCTCCAAAGATTTACAGCCTTAAAAAATACTATACAGTGTCACTATGAGTCAGAACTGACTCCATGGCACTTAACAACAATAATATGGGCAAGGAGAAGCAGCTCTGGTGGCACTGTAGGATAAGCAGTGGGCTGGGAACTACAAGGTCACTGGTTCAAACCCATCAGAAGCTTCTCAGGAGAACAAGAAGGCTGCCTACTCCTGTAAAGACTTGTTGCTGCTATAAAGTGCCTTCAAGTTGATTCTGACTCAAAGTAACCCTTTACAGGGTTTATGAGGTTGCATATCTGCAGGAGCAGAAAACCTCATCTTTCTTCTACAGAATGGCTACGGGTTCAAACTGCCAACCTTGTGATTTGCCTACTTCACGAAGTTATTGCAAAGACCGCTATTGTTGCTGAGTTGGTTCTGACACTTAAGGACCCTGGATAGGGTTTCAGAGAAGCAACTGTTGGGTTTGAACTGCCAAGCTTGCAAGTTAGTAGTCCAGTGCTTATCCTACAGTGCCACAGCTTAGATAATATTAAAACCTATGTCAAAGTGTCTAGAATAGAAAGTAGCAGAACTCAATAAAAGATTCTAATAAAGGAAGAAAACTTTACCCTCTGACCACATGTGATGTAGGGAATTATTTAATATGTCTCTTCTAGCCTTAGTGTTTTAACTCCCACCAAATGATTCTTTTCCTGATGGATCTGAGTAAGAGAAGGTGAAAGAACATACTGA